TATTAGAGTATCACAGACTCTGACAACTATTAGTTGTCTTTGTTCTTCCCCTAACTCCTGACTTGTTATGCCTCCCATCCGACTTCTGAGGACTTAGTTCAAATTTCTTGCTCAATCTCATGGACAATGCAGGCTCTTCCATCACCACCAGATGGCGGTATAAAGCCTTTTCAGGATACAGAATTCCAAGGTAACTTCAACCAAAGCACTATTACTATTTTTCTCATCTTAGGGACTGACTTTCTTGGATGCTTGGCAATAACTTATTCACTCTATCCACTAGATTCTGGTAAGATTTTCTACTGACAATTGATAGCACTCCTAGTCATTCACTTTATTTCTTCTTTCCTTATCTCCCTTCCACTTGCTTTCTTCCCCAACAACAGTGAACTTTTCTCCAAGCCAAAAATGTGCCCAGGCTCTGTATTTGTCATGTAGAAGACTCTTTCCCTACTGTATTTTCACTAACTCCTATTTATCTTGAAATCCCAACTTAAATCTCACTTCCTCAGAGAAGCCTATCCTGACCTACTGAGCTAGTTTAAATTTCCTCCATTGTATATTTCCACCAAAAAAAAAAATCCATACTATGCATCTCTAAACATGTAAAACTATCTTCACCTTTTTGCTTAATGTTTAGTGTAGTTATTTAGGTAGTACACAGTAAGTTTCAATGTACACATGAAAACTGGGGTTGGGGTGGAAGTACAGACCTGATCCTCATTTCTGAGCTACACTAGAATTTAAATATATCTTCCCTTTACAAAAATACCAGTTTGTTTGTTGGGGAGTTTTTGTTGTTGTTTCACTTTTTTTCACCCACAAGTTTCTTATTCAGGTTTATCCCCTGTACAATTAACAAAGCCTAGCTGTTTCTACCCTGGAGGTCACAGACATACAAGGGGTCAATGAATACAGTTCAGTTCAAGAGGTCTATGAAAATAGGCTTTTTATTTTTGCTAACCTGGTATAGAAATATATATATATATATGCAGCAAAACACAATAATGTTACTAGACATGATTCTTTTTATTTTTTGGGTTATGGGACTTGAACTTGGGCCCTGAGTGCTGCCCATGAGCTCTTTTGCTCAAGGCTAGTGCTCTACTTTGAGCCACAGCTCCACTTCTGATTTTTGAATGGTTCATTGGAGATAAGAGTCTCACAGGTTTGTCAAGGCTGGCTTCAAACCATGATCCTTAGATCTCAGCCTCTTGAGTAGCTAGGATGACAGCCATGAATCACTAGCACCTGGCTTAGCCATGATTCTTTATCTGTAGAAATCAGTTATTTTTCTATCACATTAGAATTGTTACAAATACTTCAAAATATGTGTTCATATTTTAAATTATGGTAATTATTTAACATATCACTAACGTTGTTATTTAATGTACTATCAAGACAGCATCGATTATTGATGCACCAATTAGGAGAGTTTAAAAAATATTCTGATAGTAAAGTAATTGGTTTTCTGGTTCCATATATTTTACCTTATTAATAATTTATTTCATATATTTTACCTTCTGTACTTAAAACATCTCTAAACAATAGAATCTGTCACTATTGGCCAAAAGAAACACAAAAAAATATTAAGAAATATTAAGACTCCTTCCAGATGTATCTAGTTTATAGCTATGGGCTCTTCTGGTGTGTCTGTTGCTCAATTTTTATCTGCTTCATGAATTTCTGAAACTGGTAACTAGAGGACTGAGGATGAAGTTCAGTGGTAGAGGGTTTTTCTTGCATGAGTGAGGTCCTGGGTTTGATCTCTAGAAATTATTTAATTTTAATTTATTTCAAAATTAAAAATAAATCAGGTAATAGAGCACAAAGGAAATAACCAACTTCCACTGGTGAAGAAATAGGACAATAAGGGTGAAAGGAAGGACCAAAAACAAAAGCAAATCAGATACATTGTGAACAGTCCAGTCAGTGGCATTTCTGAGTTCAGAAGTTCACAGGAAGGAGAAATGAGCTAAAAAGATCTTTTGAATAATTGAGATCCAGCAGCAAAAAGTCACAAAGAAAGGAATGGACCACACAGAGGCACAATGACATATTTAGTATAGATAAAATGAAAGAAAGATAGTTAACAGTGTTCCAAGACAAATAATAATTTTTCAAATGTCTATCAAGTGAAAGAGGAGAGCATAAACTATTCTAAGTAGCAAATAGCGAAAGGACAGGACCAAAATATAAAACATTTTCTGCTGGTCACCGGTGGTTCACACCTGAAAACCTAGCTATTCAGGAGCTGAGATCTGAGGATTGTCTGTCCTGTCAGGAAAGTCCATGAGACTTTTATCTCCAATTAACAACCAAAAAGCTAAAAGTGGGGTAGTAGCTCATGTGGCAGAGCACTAGCCTTGAGCAAGAAAGCTCAAGGACAATGTCCAGGCCTTGAGTTCAAACCCCAGGACCAACACACACACACACACACACACACACACACACACACACACACACACACTTTTTTTTTCTATTTGAGATGTTTATTTCAAAAACCTGTTAAAGTTTTACAAACCTAATTAAGTCTATAAATTTTTACAAATTTAATGAAAGACAAACAGAAAAGCAGAGTAATAGCCTGAGACAAGGGGAAAGAAGATGGAATGCATGAGTCACAGGCCCTCTCTGACCTTGAAGGACCTTATAATTTCAGCAACAGGCAGTTCATCTCACTAATAATACAAGGAAATGGTGCAGGGAGGGGAAAGAATACCACATGAGGAGAATGAACCAAGCTGGAAACAGCTAGTCACCATTTCCAGAGGAAACATCACCATAATGGGCTATACTGACTCCATGCAAACTCTGTGTCTCTCTATAGCCTGGACAACCTCAACTTTATGCTGCATGTGATCAGAAGATGGGTGCCAGAGAAGAGTCAATGTTTGTTTCAATGTTTTCATCAAGACCCATCTTACCAAATACTGTTGATGATGCCAATGTTCCTTTTCTTTTACTTTAAAAGATTTGTTTCCCCCAACAGCAATTTGTGATGTGAAAACATCTTGGTACTGACCACAGCTGGTGGCCGCCACAGGGACAGTGAATCTTTGGTAGGAACAGTAGGCACAGCACCAGACCCCTGCCACCACCCCAGGCACCCTACCTGCCAGGCCTGCAGATGCCTTGCTTGAGGTTTTCTTCAATTCACATTTAAATTTTCAGTTCATTACCACCACCAACAACAAAAAATATCTTGGTAAGCTTGCAACAAATTGTTAACTTGGAAAGCTTGTAACAAATTGAAAGTGTGAGACTTGTTCCCAAAAAGAGGGGACATTAGTGTAAACTGCGAAACTCATTGTGAAGATGCTGATTTGTATAAATTTCCACCAACATATCTGTTGTTTTATGTGCAATGCTGTTTCTCAAAATTAAAACTAGCAAGAAGTGTTCTTATTCAACTGTAAGTGAAAACAAAATAAAAATATAATTGCATGTGAATATGTATGAGGAGAACTTCACTTCCTAGGGCTGCCATAACAAAATATCACAACTTAGAACAACAGAAGTATAATGCCTCACAGTTCTGCTATTAAAAGAAATTAATGTACCAGCCAGCTCAGGCTCTCTAAAGGATCCAGGGAAGGACTTGTTCTATGCCTTTGTCTTAGCTTCAAATGTTTACCAGCAATCCTTCATACACCTTCATTGACTTGCAACAACACAATGGCAATCTCTGCTTTCAGGGCACAAGGCATTCATGTCTCTGTGTTACCTGGCCATCTTCACCCGGTGTGGCTATCTGTATCTCTTCAGACGCCTGCTTTTTGAAGCCATTATTCATTTTGAATTGAGATGCCCACCCTGCTTCAATAGGATCTCAGCTTAAACTAATCCCTATCTCCAACAAAGATCACCTTTGGAGGTACTCCAGATTAGGAGTCAAGGTATCTTGAGGGATACAATGCCACCCATAACCAGGAGCAAATCTGACAAGCATGGTAACTTTGGAACCATGAACACGTTATTGCTCATTACATTGACATAATAAATGTGTTTTGCTTTTGTCCCTTTTTCCCCCTTTCAACAAAAACCCACACTTGTCACCTAAAAGTATGAATCCCTTACTTTTCCTTCTAGAGATATTTAACTTTACAATTTTTAACAAGTTTTACAAGTTTTAACTTTACAATTGTTTAAACTTTACAATTTTACTTGTGTCAACAAAAAAGAATGCGGGTTGTGTTTTCGTCTCTGGGCATCACTGTCCATTCCACTGTTACTGCCGAAAACGTGTTTTTATTAGCATCCGTGTGAACACACCCGTTGATGTACACGTCGGGATCATAATCACGCCCTCCATCATCCCTCATCCTCCCCTCTCTCCTCCAATCAGTCCCATCAAGTCACCAAGTTCCATCAAGTCACAAAGTTCCATTCTGGAAAACTGTTTCTTTTTTTTTCTTTGGGGTGGGGGGGCTGTTCGGTCGTGGGGCCTGAACTCTGGGCCTGGGCACTGTCCCTCAGCTCTTCAAGTCAAGGCTAGCTCTATACTTGAGCCACAGCGCCACTTCCGGCTTTTTCTGTTTATGTGGTGCTGAGGATTCGAACCCAGGGCCCCATGCATGCGAGGCAAGCGTTCTACCACTGAGCCACCGTCCCAGCCCCTGGAAAACTGTTTGCAAACAATCGTTTTCTGAACGCCAGCCGGCCAGCCAGCCAGCCCGGCCAGCAGCCCGCAGACAACCGCCGCCCGGCTCCCGCGCCGCTCTCCCCTCAGGTACTCACTTTCCCGGCAGGCTCCGCGGCACAGCGGACCGCAGCACCGGAGGCTCCCGAAGACTCTAGAGGGCGCCAAGTTCCCTGGCCTGGCCGCCCGGAACACTTCCCGCCTCAGGCCCGCCCAACTCGCCGCCTCCCTTCTCCGCCCTCCCTCAGACTGCCAACGAGGCAGGCTGCGGCACTCCGGCGCACACACACACATATACACGTCTGCCGCGCACAGCGCTGCGGCGCATGCGTCCCCCTGAAAGGTCCTCGTTTCCTCGCGAGACCTCCCACTTCCGGTCTCCCAGAGGCTGGGAGACGCTGGGAAGATGCGCTTGACGGTCGCTGCGGCCATCTCCCACGGCCGGGTATTCCGGCGCCTGGGCCTTGGCCCCGAGTCTCGAATCCACCTGCTACGTAACTTGCTTACGGGTCTGGTGCGACATGAACGCATCGAGGCGCCGTGGGCGCGCGTGGATGAGATGAGGGGCTACGCCGAGAAGGTAGGCCGCGGGACCCGGTTGCCCACGGGGAAGCCTGGCCTGGGGGGGGGGGGGGTCTGCGTCTGCCCCGGTAAACACTTACCAGAGTTCGCATCCTGCCGTCGATCTCTGAGCCGAACCCTCTCCTCCAGCCTCCTGAGTGCAATTCTAGTTAGCACTACGGAGCTACTGGCCTGACCTGGATGCTTTGCTAGTGACCTGGCACGGCGCCTCGGTTCTTGGTGGTGATGGATGTATGGATCCATGCTGTTTCTTCTGTCTGTCCTCACAGCTCATCGACTGCGGAAAGCTGGGAGACACCAATGAGCGAGCCATGCGCATGGCTGACTTCTGGCTCACAGTGAGTGCCCCTTGAATCTGCTTCCGAAATCTTGCCTTCCGTGCCGAGACCAGGCAAGGGGTGGTGAGAAAAAGAGGGACGTGACATATTTAAGCTGGAACACTCATGGATCAGTGTTGTAACCTAACTAGAACCATAAGTTAGTTGAACTCAGTGCATCTGCCCAACTGCCTATAAGTGGCCCTTCTGCATAATTCTGATTCTGCAGACTTGGGCGGTAGGAGAGGCCAGCCTCTTTTAGGTTTTCGTATTAGGAGTGGCTGAAAATTACCTCTACAGTTATGCCTGACTCTTGCTTGCATAACTTTTTCCATCTAGGAGAAGGACCTGATCCCAAAGCTCTTTCAAGTGCTGGCTCCTCGGTACCGAGATCAGAATGGAGGCTACACAAGAATGCTGCAGATCCCAAATCGGAATAAGCAGGATCGAGCCAAGATGGCAGTGATCGAATACAAAGGGAACTGCCTCCCACCCCTACCTGTGCCTCTCAGAGACAGCAACCTTACACTCCTAAACCAGCTACTGCTAGGGCTGCAACAGGACCTCCACCAAAACCAGGAAACCAGCCTCCAAAGCTCCCATACAACTGAAACACCAAGGATTTAACTGGAGTTGAAGGGTTTATGACTCTTTAATGAACAGGATCATAGATCTTTGGAACTCTTTGAATATCAAAAAGGAATGGAGTTACTATTGTAAAATGTGTAGTAGTAATGGGGCCCAGAACTGGGAGCCAGATGGCCCTTCCTTTGTACAATACATAAAATTTCTTACACCCATATGTGTGAATTAATTTTCTCTTCTCCTCCTAGAATTCCTGGTACATGAAATCTGCTCAACTGCTGGGTTTTCCTTAGGAAACTAAATTCTGATTCTTACATCTGAGTTGTATTTGTATTTTTGTATTTGATGAGTAGTGTTTTTTCTTTTTTCTTGTGTGTGGAGAGGCTGGTACTCTTACCACTTGAGCCAAACCTCCACTTCTAACTTTTTGATGGTTCATTGTAGAGAAAAGTCAAGGATGTTTCTGCCTGGTCTGGCTTCAAACTGCTGTCATCAGTTCTCAGCCTTCTGAATAGCTAGAATTACAAGGTGAATCCCCAGTGCCCAGCTCCAGTGATTTTTTTTTTTTTTTGGCAGTCATGGGTCTTGAACTCTGGGCCTGCGCACTGACCCAGAGCTCTTCCACTCAAGGCTAGCGCTCAAATAAGAGTCTCACAGACTTTCCTGCCTAGGCTGGCTTTGATCCACAATTCTCAGATCTCAGCCTCCTGAGTATCTAGGATTACAGGCGTGAGCTATCAGCACCCAGCCCAGTGATTTTTTTTTGGGGGGGGGGGGCGGGGTCCGGTAGTGGGGCCTGAACTCTGGGCCTGGGCACTGTCCCTCAGCTCTTCAGCTCAAGTCTAGCACTCTACCACTTGAGCCACAGCGCCACTTCCAGCTTTTTTCTTTTTGTTTATGTGGTGCTGAGGAATTGAACCCAGGGCCTCATGCTTGGAAGGCAAGCACTCTACCACTGAGCCACCTTCCCAGCCCCCAGTGATTTTTTTTTAATACTACTTTTTTTCTTTTGGAGACAAAGTTTTGCTATATTGCCCAAGCTGGCCTATGTCAGCCTCCCCAGTTGTTGAAATTGCAGACAAGTCTGTATTTCCCTTTTTTTTTTTTTTCTGGCAAATCTCTGACTATTACGAGAACAGCAGCTTGGCTGGGGTATCTTCACAGTCATTACTAGATATAAATGAGCTCTCTGCTTCTCAAATGCTTTTGCCATTCTCAAACCGGATTTCCCTTTTCTGAGTTCTCACAGAAGCCTAAGTTCTTTGTTTTGTTTGTTTTTGTGGCAGGACTAGGACCTGAATTTCTGGCCTCTTGCTCTCGGCTTCTTCCCTTACAACTGGTGCTCTACCACATGAGCAACTCCTCTAGTCTGGTACTTTTGCTTGTCAATGGAGATGTTATCTTTCAGACTTCTCTGCTTCAAATGAAGATCTTCCTGATTCCATCTACCTGAATATAGAATTACTAGTGTGATGCACCAGTGCCCAGCTACTTTTTGTAATCTTAATACTGACTTTAATGGGTCATATTATAGTTTCAAACTGGCTTCCTAAGGTGATTGTGTTTTTTTCTTTTTTTTGTTTCTGGGGTTTGGTTGGTTGGTTGTTTTGTCCGTCGTGGGGCTTGAAGTCTGAGCCTGGGCACTGTCCCTCCACTCTTCAGCTCAAGGCTAGCACTCTACCACTTGTGCCACTGTACCACTTCCAGTTTTCTACTGGTTTATTGGAGTTAAGAGTCTCATGGACTTTTTTTGAACTGCAATCCTCAGATCTCAGCCTCCTGAGTAGCTAGGATTATAGGTATGAGCTACCATTGCCAGGCTGGTGATTGTGTTTTGACATCTAGTATAAGGACTAAGCCAATGCAACTTCTTGTTCTTTTTTTTTTTTTTTTGTCAGTTGTGGGGCCTGAACTCTGGGCCTAGGGCACTGTCCCTCAGCTCTTTAGCTCAAGGTTAGTGCTGTACCACTTGAGCCACAGTGTCATTTACGGCTTTTTCTGCTTATGTGGTGCGGAGGAATCGAACCCAGGGCCTCATGCATACGAGGCAAGGGCTCTACCACTGAGCCACCTTCCCAGCCCCAATCTTGTTCTTTTTTCTTTTTTTTTTCTTTTTGGCAGTCCTACGGATTAAATTTGGCCTATAAGCTTGCTGTGCAGGCACTTTACCACTTGAGCCACAACTTCAGCTCTAAGCTCTTGAGATTTCTTAAAGATTACTTCCTGATAGGAGTAACCATATGCAATTGAAAGTTATATATTTGAAAGTTTTAATCTAATATTGTAAGAATGTTAAGAGGACACTGCTACCAATCTGATTTCTAGGCAGGATAATGCATTAACATGTATACTCCTCAGCCTTTGAGTGGAACCTAAAACCTTGCATCTACCAACATCCTAACTGAAAGGGTGCAAGTATCTGACAGGATGTTGAACCTCAGGATAAGCTCCTTCCTCTTTGTGTGGGGAGAAGGGTGAGATGAGGAGAATTAGAAACATAAACCTACTGGGAATTTCCTGGAAGTTTATATTGTTGTGAAAACTTGGCCCCTGTGAGAACTCAGAAAAGGGAAATCCGGTTTGAGAATAGCCAGGGCATGTGAGAAACAGTGAGCTCATTTGTATCCATTAATTACTGTGTATATAATCTAGCCAAGCTACCATTCTCTTAGCCTCAGCCTTGACTAGGGAGTTAGGCAAGATTAAAAAGAAGCTATCACATTCAGCCTAGACACTTGGTAGTGGGGCCCAATAGTTACCATCCCCAACAGTTATCATTCCCCAGTAGAATGGGGAAAAGATTTTACCTTATGCTATACCTTCAAAGTGTATTTGGACCACTGTGCCCACCCATTGCTTGGCAGAGAAAGGAAAACTAGACTAACATAGTCTAGCAATAAGATACAAACTTACTAACAGGACTATACTGGTGCTGTTTTGTTACAACTGCCCAAATCTGAGACTCACCTGCTCCCAACAGGACTCTTTTTCTCCAGTCTAGTGCCAGTGGACTGACTTGTAATACATTCTGAATGCCACATAGTGGACACAGCATTTTTCAATGAAAGCTACACTCTAAATAGTTCTCCCAAAAAATTCACCCTTCTTCCTGTCTCACCCCACCATAGCCAGAAGTCATCCCTGACACTAAATAAAAATATTCGCTGAAAAACATTTTTAAGCCTTCAGAACAGGTGAGTAATTGCTGGACTCCAAAAAATGCATCTCCATTTAGATCTCTGAGCACTTCCCTAAGTGCCTATTAAGCTTCTGCCCCCCCCAAAAAAAGCATCTGCCAGTCCTCAGCATCATTTTAGGTGCTAGAGATACCATATTTATCAACTATTTGCCAGTCAGATCCTGAAATGTAAGTACTAGGAAACACAGAGTTGGGAAGAAACTGCCATGAAGAAGCTCAAAATAATGGGCCACTGCCACCATGGCCTCGGGGACACAGCATTCCCTTTAAAAATTTGGCTCAAATGAATCATGAATCCTAAACCATTTACTAAAAGTGGGAGATAGCAGTGTATCAGGAATTTTACTAATCTGGCCTATAAATAACCACCTCAAGAGATGGAATGCACCCTCAAGTCTATCCACTACTTAAAATTCCCAACCCAAGTAGCCTCACCACTTTCAAAGATTCTTCATCTGGGTCTCCAGTTCTTTCCAAGGTTGCCCTACACCCCCTCCCCCCCCCCTGCAAAACTAGTCATCTTAAAGAGGTCACAAGAATGTAACTCCACGATCTATAATCAGAAAAACAATGTTGCCTGACATTCATTAAGTCATGTTGGTATACACATACACACACCTATATGTTTCCATGTTTTTCAGATCTGAACTCTTTCTCCCTAAAATGAAATCCAGATATTTCTATCCTGGATTAACGATAGCCCTAGCATGCCTCCATACTGCAGCTGTAGTGATAGAAATCTGATCATCATAATTCCCTGATGATGATTCCTTCAATAACCAGGCATCTGCTCACTACTTCAGCTACTAACCTTGCCTTTAGTTTTATGCACCAGAAGCATACAAAAAATATTTTAGTTGTTTCTCTGTGCACAGTTAGGTACCCTTACCACTTCATGAATTCCCTACCACCCAGACACTTCCCACTTTTACCTACCTAAACTCCACACAAACATTTGGGTGGATCTTGGCATCATCCCCACACCTTGTGTTTCTGTAACCCTCAAATTACCATATTTCATTTTAGTTCCTTATCCTCAATTGATTCCCAAGCATGCACCCCACATTAGTATGAGGCAATCATGGGCTTGGGATGGATGAGCGTCAACTAATAGCAACTGAAAAGAGTGTGTTCTGCTTAATAAAGTTAAGTCTTGTTTTCCTGAATTCCACTGGTCAACTGATATTGGCTGAAGATGATACTGAGAATGGCACATTTAGCACTAAAAGAAGGTGAAGTATTTTGAGTGAGGTAAGCCAAGAGCAAAGAGACAAACAGCACCAGCACATGGTCCCTGATATGTGGATGTTAAATACAAAATGCAAGGAAATATGACAAAATAAACAGGACTCGAGAAACAAAGGACTTCCACTCAACGTATCATTACTAAGTGATTCCATGTTGTTGACCACATATATAGTATATATATGCATACATCTGAGGGAAACTAAGAGGACACAGAATCAGAGGGAAATAGGAAGAAAAAAAAAAGAACAGAGGGGCCCATAAAAAAATGAAGGTAAAGTACACATAGTCTTTAGTGATTATGGCCATTTGTACCTGAACTTTCTATTAATTACTTTCAAACTAATACATCAACTTCTTGTATATCACTGAGCCTTTAGTGTTTCTCAAAATAATTTACTATGACTCAGACAAAAAAACTTTACACTAGAACAATATTTTCATGAGTAGATCATTGAAAGTTGTATGTGCTTCAACAAAACATTTTCCTCTGAAAATATGCACACTAATATCCTATACTGTTTTCTTTACCTTTTAAAATGCTGGTCCCAATTCACCAGATTGATTTTACAACCTGCTCTAAACTGGTCTAAATTATCATTTGTGTGACTAACCACTGCCTCCACTGGTTAAAAATCTAGAAATTTCATAATACAAAGATGCTCTACAGCCCAGTCCCTTCCTCTTCTACCACTACTTACTGCCTCCCTTTATGGGAAACTAAATATATCATAACTTTGTGCAAGATGTCCCCTCTACTGTAGTCTGTCT